GAAACGGAATCGAATTTGCAATCAATCAACAAAAGGGGCAAACATCGCGACGAGCCCCGCGACTTGTGGGACGAGTTGTCTTGCCATTGAAGCGCCGTGGTCCACGCTTTCTGATACGTAAAAAAATCAAACTCCTCCAAAAAGTACTTCGGGCAGTGTCTATCCAGTCATGGCATCTCTGAAAGATCTTGGTTATCAATTCAACAACGATGGCGAGCTGAGAAAAATTGAGGTTCGCAAATTTCTCGAGCCCTAGTCAACTAGTCTCTTTCGCTAACTTTTCATTATCGTTTTTAAACTTATCTCGGAACCTTAAGCTGCTTTTTTTTAATGATATTATTTGTGGAGCCATTCTAGTGCCAAGCTCCAGGGCATTAAGGAGCGTGATAAACAGTTTTTCCTATTATGAACGCTATCGAATACTGATGCCCGCTCCGTTACGAACATGAAGGATAACCACTTTGTAAAGGGTGGAATTTTTCAAAAACCTACATATTCATATGGCTGCGATATCAGCATGAATTTGTGGCACCGCTGTTGGTTCACCACCAGAAGCTCTATTTACCCGAGCATTTTGAAGTAAATCGGCGTCCTCTGGCCTTACTAACAGTTTCTTTTCACCTCTCAAGCACTGAAAGTTCGGCATTAGCATTAAGCTAATCGAGGTAAGCGGCATTGAAGGAATCAGGAACATCCCGTAGTTCGAAAAAACCGTGTGGACATTTAGTAGTATACCGTATTCCTGACGCGAACTATTGCACCGAAGTGCCTCGCCGTTGACGTGCTGCTCCTCCTTCATGCACGCCAAAGAAATTTGAAAACTGCCAGATTTTGACTCACTATTTAGTTCTGTGTCGAAGCATTTGTTAGCTTAACACATGATACTAATCCTGAGGCGCACGTACATAACGGAAAAGCTTTCACGCTTTCAATGGCTATTCTGGAAAATAAACAGTGCACAGGAGCTTTTATTTGCAGGATTGGTAGCCGATTTCGTTCTTCACAAATCAATCCGATTACGAACAGATTGGTAACGCAATGACAAGGGAGCTGTATGACATACTCGAGAACCGTTGCGGTCTCATGAAGTTGGATATCCCGGTGAGGACCAAAGGTTTCGGTCACTTTGTATTAAGGGTGATCGGTTTCGACACTCGTAGTTCTGACGTCCCTTTTCACTCTAAACGGATGATATCGTCGAAATCCCACGGAGCACTGTCAGGAGGCGCAGAATGAGCTCACCGCGTTCCCACCAATGGTTGTTTTCCACCTGAACAGGCCGCTATTGGTGGAAAACGCAGCCACGGTTGGGCTCATCCCCTGCCTCTTGGTACCGCCCCACCGGATTGCGACATATCAAGTATATGTACGTTTATACCTCCATAACGTTGCAAGCCGTGGCTATCATTAGGAATTTAGGTCATGGTTGGGTCCGGTCATGGTGATTTTGCTGAGTACAATGGATTCGTTTATGCCTCAGTAGGGTTCGAAGAAAAACCAACTGTTCTTGTGATAATTCATGGTAGTGGAGCAGTACGGCCTGGACAGTGGTCGAGAAGGTGCGTTGAGTCTCCCTCTAGTTTTTTCACGAGTATTGAAATGTTTGCTTTCAGACTGATACTGAACGAAAGTTTAGAAACTGGCTCACAGATTCCTTATATTCAACGTGCACTAAAGAATGGATGGGGTGTTATTGTTTGCAGCACAAATACAGACGAAGAGTGTGAGTTTTGAGGTGTTATCTGACAAAATTCACAATATCCTTGCGCCTGTGTACTCTATGGCCTTGTATCTAAGAACAATATTATATTGCTTATGTATTCCAACTTTAAAGAAATATTAGCTTCATTTAATTTAACTTGCTAATTGTTTCTAGCGCCAAGACCGTTTCATACCTAAACCAATGTGGGGATCCCCAATTTTAGAGAGATGCAAGATTGCATGAAAAGAAGCGTGTACGCCTCATCCTGGGAATCGAGAGTCGACAGACTCTGCCCAGCAGTGTATTCAGTGATTCAGAAGGGCCTCGTTTCTCAGCCCAGCGATTCTAATTTTATCCTTTGCCGCCGGTTTCCCTAAATTACGGATACACCCGCTCGCGGATTCTCCACATTTGTAAGGTACGAATGTAGCCCAACGCTCCTGGAAAAGTGAGCGGAACATTCAGGAGTTCCAGCATAAATGTTCCCGGTCGACCGAACCTACACTCGTTCGAGTGGGGTGGATGAGCTTTGAGGTCAATTTTCATCCAATAACCGTGGTTTAACGGGCAAATGGTTCTTAATTTACAACGAAATTCTGTAAAAATGTTCAGCATTTGAACTTCTCTTTGACTATTCCGTTTTTCTTTCTCCATTCGTAATCTTCAGATACAAGATTATCCTTGTCGACATCTTTGCGCTGTGTACGATCAGTTGCTGAGGGACTCAACGGCTGTGAGATTCTTCGTAGTCGCTCATAGCCGCGGAGGCCCAGACTTCGCTAATGCGGTGAGCGCATCTCCTATACTTTTTTCACAATTGATATAGCCCATGGAAATATAGCTCCGTAAGTGTAGTGAGGACGGTCTCTACTTCTCTGGTGCACCCATAGTTCACGACTCGATCAACGATTACGCGTGGCATTCGAAATCGGGGAAGCGCACTACGTCGCTAACCAATGACCGCTTCATGTGCTCCTTGGATCATGCCCGAAATCGCGCTTGAAGCAGGCCCAGTGATCAGCAGATCGCGAGCAGTGGAGCACGACCGACCACAGTCACTGTGGACTGAAGCCATTCACGAGGTATGAAAGGTATGACCTCAGCTTTAGACAAATTTACACTCCTTATCCTGGGACCGAGTAGGCGTGGCATTTGAACATTACACGGAGTGGGTTACTCCAATCTGATCAATCAACTGTAATCTTGTTATGTTGCAGGACGAAGACATGACTGCTACTGTCCCAAAATCAAAGTATCTCACGAAAGGTTGGTCGCTGCGTCAGTGCAGCCACGCCTACCGCATCTCAGGGATTTCGAGTGTTAATGGATTGGGGGGGGGGGAGCCGAAATCACTCGGTAGGCGCTCAAGGCTCAAGTTGTGTGGCGACTATGACTTTTCTGCGATCTCTGGTCGTCTACTCTCTAACTGTAAGCTTTGGTTAGGAGAAGGGACACTAAGGAACAATCAGGCGGTCCCGCTTCTCATTACGTTAGAGCCATCAGCTGCACTTAACAGCTTTCTCTAATGCTTTGTCCGGCTGCTTCCGCTAAATCAGATACCACAGCCCTTCTTCGTCCTATGTGGTGCATCCGTTACCACAAATCTGTTGCGCCGGGCTTTGGCCTTTAGCCCATAGGTCCACTAAAAAGCAAGATTTGACAGAGAACATTGATCGGATGCCGTGTGCTATTTCAGATATAATACTCGTTTTGTTAGATCCCATGGTCAATAGGTCTGCTCTTGTTTCCGAGCCCAAGTTAGGACCTTTGAATCCATGAGATTACTTGTTAACTAATCGATTTTCAGTATTCGCATTTCAAATATGAGGATCGGTTTGCCGTAGTGTGTTTGACCGATTCGGTAGATTTCCAAATACCGCACTCTGATTCAACTGAGCCACCGAATGGAGGACCCGTGTTCATCAACTGGAAGGCTGACAGCAAGTTCCAACAGACAGCGTTGTCCGATGAGGAGATCTTGAATGTATACAGTCAAATTCATCACATATACGCCGGTTCGTTTGTCTACAATTCTAGAATGTCGTAATAGTGAAAACGCCATCGTAGTACTCAGAAGCCCCGCTGTTTGCTGTTTCTCTCACGCTTCTCGCTTCGATTGAAGCCTCACCTTCCAGGGTGCACTCAGCGTTTGCGATGACGCGCTACCACAGCTGTCAGGCTCCAGAGCCACAGACGGAAGCTTAGCCGTGGACAGGCATGGATCGGCATTGGCCAGTGTTCTGAGGGAGCTAAGGAAAGTAGGTGGGTACCAGACAGTTTGAGAAGGCGTTACAAAATAGCAACGTTGCCGTTTTGCGACCGCACTGCAGACCATTCTTAGTTTCTGTGACGCCCATTCGGAATGTCTGTTACACTCGCAGTCTCCCATACTCTCTCAAAACACCAGCGGCCCATGCCGATCGATATCCGTCTGTGGCTGCGTTTCTGTCTATAGCGTTGGAGCGCTATCGCAACGGTAGCGCACTGTAGCACATCGACACGCGTCATCGCGAAGTCTGAGCGCACGCCCACAACTGACAGGTTCGCAGAGACATTTTTGGTGGATGAACTCTCTGTTATCCGGTTCTCACAGTGCATCCTACATGTACCCAACGCATTGAAATGGTCCTGTGAATGAAGCATTTTAAGGAACAGCCCAACTATTCCTTGTAGCTACTATTCAGGGAGATTATGGTGAATATGCTGAAATGGATGCAAGGTGAATGTGCTAGAGTGAATGTAGCTCATTTCAGGTACAACAGAACACGAAAGATCTTCACATACTGCATTTAACAGCATCTTTCATGTTTTAGCGAATTGGCGTTCTGCCGATGATTTGCCCAAACTACTTGCAGAAGCCGCTGGTCTAACTTCGGTAAAAAACATTATTTACTTATGGTCTTTTCACCGCGCGTTCGTTCACAAACTACTTTGAAGGCCCGAGGAAAAAGAGTATAGTTTAGGAGGTCAAAGTTGCGTTGACACGTAGGTCAACTAGCTCGCCGAGCGCTTCGCTAGCTAGCTGACTTGGCTTAGTGTGGCAGTTTCGCATCAGAAACTGGTTCCTGACGCGGATGTTGCGTGCGTGCTACCCGATTTGCAATATCTACCGGGAGAGGGAATATCACCAAGGAAAGGCGAAAAGTTCAGGTGTGGTGCAAGCGGTCGCGTCGCAATGCTTCAAATGAGTGCGATAGTCCTAACGCTGCAATGTGGGTCGGCCCTAGACATACTGAAGCTGAGGAAATATGAAGATATATGTCATTGCAACTGGTTCTGAAGGGCTCAGTAACACATTCAGACCATGCGACCGCGCGCTATATTTCTAGACTGATCATATTTCATTTATAAAAAAAGGAATAATTGAGTTATTAATGTTACAGACTGGAGTTATGGAAAGCTAAAGTCAACATTCCACAACAACTACAGCTGCCGGAAAAGTGATCTCTATGTTATGCAAAGATTTACCCTTGGATGATTCACTCATAATTTTTTTCATATAAATATGGTCTGGATTCTCATTTGATGCAGTTGAATAAGTCGGGCAGCAAAAAATATAAGTCCTGGCTCTCTTGTGAGATAGCCTTTGCAAGCAGTTATCGCGACATGAGATACGACGCTCAGAACTGGAGCTGCTGTGATGGAGCTTCCTGATTTTTCTGCTGGAACTAACGTCTCACTCACTGTTGCGCATATGGTTTCGTGGCGCTTCCTTTCTAACGCCCTTATCAGCACTTATCTGTTGTTATCATCACCGACAAGTACTGCTCCTGACCAATCTAAATTAGGCTGCGTTCATACTTTGCGAAAGCGTTGACGGTCACGTGAGACGAACGTAAACAGTAAAAACTGATTTTTATCAACCTCAAAGTGGATTTGAAGAAAAGTACCTTCAGTCAAAACCATGCACCTTCAGCGACGCACTCCTAACGCCCCTACCAGCTCTCAACATTCTTATTGGTACCAGATTCGTTTGGGAGGATATGAAGAACTTGTTCATTGACTGGCCCCCAAAGTCATTGTATAGGCAACATCACATTCGGTAAGCCAGTGGATTTTGAATGGACATATGTAGAATGTGTGCTGCATGCCAAAAAGGAATTGGTAATTTCCGAAGACTATTTTTTTATCCTCAAGGGTGCGCTCATACTCTGCGGCAGCGTCTACAAGCGTCCATTAGCATTCCGGGTGTCCGGCAGCGTCAGCGACTAGGAAAGTATGGATATCGATCTAGCGTCTGCCAGCGTTCACCAGCGACCGGAGGTAGAGAGTATGAGGGAGTTGGGTTGTCGATGTGGCCTTGGGCGCACCGTGATGCTGCGCTCCGTTGAGCTTTACGGCCAAGCACGCGCTGCACCCGTCGACAGTCAGGCGCGGCCGCTTTTATACTAGCGGCGGTGGAGCCACGCCCACCGCCGCTAGTATAAAGAGCGGCTAGCGGAAAGGCTCTCGACTTCAGTTTTGAACAATATGGAGCTCTCTCGGCTCAGAAGGAGCCAGGCTCACGTGGAGTGGAAGCCTGAGCAGCACCAGACACCGCAAAGGCTGACGCTCGCGCAGGCGATGAAGTGCCGCTTACCGTTTTATCGCTGACGTCATCAATCAATGGTTGGAATCCGAAGAAAATATCGGTCTTCCCATTCCAGGAACTTCCGGTCCATACCATCAACCCGCGCCTTGGCGACTGCGGTGAAGATGATATCCTGGACCGTAGCGACGTTGTCGGAGCTGCTCGATGTTGGAGGTCTTCCAGATCGAGAGTGCCGGTCTCCAGGGGCCGTATGCTATACTTCCCTCGAGGGGGACATATCCCCCAGCAAACCTCCGCTCTCTGCCGTTATCTCTGTCGATGCCCCTCGTCTCTCTGCATCTGCCTGCACCTTGCCTGCTCTCTGCATCTTTGCTCCCCCACTTTCGCGAAACGTCCCCCAGCGACATGTGCTGGGGGACAGGGGAGAATATCTGCGCTGTACTATATTCGCACAGAGCGTGCGCCAGAAGAGTATGGATGCAGAGCGGCGAGAGCCAGAGAGACGAGGGGCACCAGTAGGGAAAACGGCAGAGAGTGGAGGTTTACAAGAGGATATCTCCCTTCGAGGGGAAGTATAACATGCGCCCAGATGCTGTCCATAGGTGACTCCGTACAAAACGTTTGCAGCTGTTCGGACGGTAATGTGATATTCCATAGCTTCCTGTTGGGCTGCCATTGCAGATGGCTTCATATTTTCAGTGTAAAATAAGGTGATGGACGAGAGCCAGCTCCTGCTTATCGAGAAACATCTTGGGTATCTTCCGCCCCGATACTCGTGTCCACATCTTGTATCTGGGCTGCGAAAAACTTTGCTGATATGTGACTCGGTCGATACTCGACGGAAGTGTGTTTGCCCACCCCCCCCCCCCCCACTGTTATCGTAGGACCTTATCGTTATCAAATGGAAGCGTCTACTGGCTCATCGAAGAATTAATAGAATGGCCTCTATGAAGGAGAGCCAAGCCATAAGTACATTGGGAATACGTCTAACCGAGATCTAGTAGTTTTCGGTTCGGGGGCCGTGCGCTGCACTTCATCTCGAGGTTTGATCCCTCTCGGCACTTATTCCGGAGAAAGAGATCTCCCGCTATCGGTCGGCGTGACAACTCCCCAGAGTCTTCAAGGGAGTATTGCATGCACGGAAAGGGCATCACTTCCCTCAAGAGGAAGCACAGCACACAGCCAAGCGCAAAATACTTTTGGGAGATTCCGAGGTTGGGTGGGATTAACGGTATTAGAACAAGCATATATAGCTGGAGTCGTCGCAGTCTGGCGAGGCAGTGTAAGGCGTGGAAAGAGAGCATGACAGCGGCTGCTTTTTACTGTATTCTGGCCCTTCCAGGGTAAACAAGCCAGCACGGTAAAAAACGCTGCGGGTGGGCCCAGTTTCAGGCACGTTCACACTTCGCGATGACGCGCGTCAACGCGCTACAGCGCAACAGCGCTCCAAAAGACGGTCAGTCATAAGTCGGGGAATCGATCGGCGCTGCCACAGCGCGTCAGTGCGTCGATCAATTCCCGTTTTACCGAAAAAACGCGAGAGACGCAGAAAAACATGAATTAGGTTTCGCGTATCACTCCAGTTTTCCCATTATCTGCCTCAGTACACAAGCGAGAGCTGTAGCAATTGTAGAGCGTTACAGTGCGTCGTCGCGCGTCTTTACGAAGTCTGAACGCTACCTCGCGCCTCTTCACACTGCTGCGACTGATTATGGCAATATCAGCGTGAATGTGATAGCCTTCCACCAAAGTAATACAGTAATAATCAAGTAACAGCGTTTATCATCACGTAAACATAATCATAGATATTATCAGAGGCACAACCGAAAACCACACAAACCGCGTCAATGGTGCACTTCTAGCATCGGAATTCCTATAGAAAATATGAAAAGGACTAATGGTGAAAGAAACTTCATGAAATTGTCAACTATGTACACAGAAATCAATTCTTTCAAAAATTTTCTAATAATAATATTGCCAAGTAGGAAAATTTCATTGACCCGTAACGATAGAAGAGATTCTTAATAACACTTCCGTTTCCATCCTATCAATCTATCGGATATCGATCAACTTCATTGCCACGGTAGGCTCTAATATGTGCCTCTATAACCCTGAATAGTCGTAGTAAAGCAACAGAGAAGTCATGAGATCGCATTGGAAAGCTTGCTGAAATCGTTGTGTGGAGTGTGTTGGAGAATAAGCGGCAAGGATCAGGCGAAATTCGGAGATTCTTGATGGGGAGGGTAAGGGAAGGCTGTTGTTGAGATCAGACAACATCAGTGGTACTGGGCGATGGGGTAGCTTCGATCGGTGTAGGTTGACTTGGAGGTCGATCTGAGGTCTTGCGAAGTGTAGCTGCACGAACGCCAGTCGTGCTCATTGCACGTGTACGGACCTGGAATCGATAAATCAATAACTGTTCACACTTTCCAATGTTGTAGGCAAAACTTTGTTTATATTTCTCAATGTCAAAGAGGTAACCGATATAGGGGTAGAACTTCTCGCGCTCCAATGCTAACGGTTGGACCGCTGCAATGGCTGATTCATTCACGTTCAGAGTAGAACAGTCCAACCATTGGCGCTGGAGCGCGGTCTTCACTGGTCGCGCAATTCGAAAACTGCGGGACGTCGTAGTGAAGTATGAGCGGAACCTTATTGTGATGGTAAATGATGGGGAAATACTGTTGTGCAAAAGTTTACAAGAAATATGTGATTCGTGCAACTGCGGACTAAAAAGCCTTCGAAGGCTCCTTGTTCCTGTACATTCCATCAGTTTCAGGCTCACCCCGTCTTCAAGACACATTCCACGCTTGTCATATAGGAAGGGCTGGGCCTAACATTGTCCGTTTCTTGACCTCGTTTTTGAAAGGAATAAAGAGGGTGTCGCAACATTTAAGAGGAGGGCGCACCGGATGAGGGGAAGCTAATGGTTTGGTTACTATCTCCGCCACGATGAACAACATGAGGTGCAGGTTCAGGTGAATAGGAAGAAACAAGGTGCTACAGCCTTGGGGATATATTGGTGGAAAGCATTAATTAAAGTTGTTCCAAACCAAAAATGTAAGAAAAGGTTTTACAATGAGCTAATGTCTTACCTGTACAAGATTCACGACCTGGCCCTGATTCATCACTCGAACTGGGCCCATTCTGCCCTCCACCGTACCAGCTGAGGAGGCCCGATCTCCTGGAAAGGATGACATTCAGAGATGATTTAGCAGTTGTTATAAATTTATGTTAGTAGCCGTTGGACAAAAAGTTTAATTTTCGAGGGATTACAAAATCGCGTTTGAGTCAAATGGAAATTTCTATCAAATCAAATCTTACCTCTGCTGGTGCCCTGTTCGGCGTTGACAATTGGTGGCAGAGTTTTTGAATGAACTGTTAATGGCACAATGGCGAAAGCTTTCGCGCTGCTCGCACTCATTACCTGGAAAGAGGGATTATTGATGGCTTCCAAAGTGAACTTCCCTTTGCATCTGCTTTGACTGCCTTACTTAAGGCATCCATTAAAAATGAAGCTGTCCAGGAAGTTCAGGAGCAATAGGGTAACCTCCATAAAATCCCTCTGAATTTAGTGTATGGGCTATGGAACTGTTCGAACTGAGGGAATTTGACATGCATTGTCAAAGCATGAACATCCAGGCTTACGGACGTGTGCTCCGCTCGCCTACTGAGTCCTGGCTCTCTACTCCCCATCTGCCTGTCAAGTGAAATGTCTAAGAGGAAAATGTCACGCAAATGCAGTTTGCCACACTTCCGGCCGGAAGTGTTATTTTTCGTGCTGCTTGGGAAGGACTAACAACTACCCATTCATCCTTTTTCTACACTACATTAACCTGGTTCTGTTATCCCACTTCCCTAGAAAAAACCTGCGTGGGCACCCATGGGAACCAGCTGATATTCAAAAGTTTCT